CTTGCCTAGCCTTCACAAGGCTCTGACATTCCTAAGGCCCTGGGTTTAAACACCGGAACTATAAAACTAAAAACAAAATAGTTGGGGAACTACTACTACTACATTTTAAAACACACAAACACACACACCATATATATATATATATATATATATATATACACACACACACACACACATACACATACATAAACATATATGTATATATAGAGCCACATCCCCAGACCTTTTTATTATTATTATTATTATTATTATTATATAATAAAATCTAGGATATATATATTTATTTTGCAAATATATATATATATATATATATATATATCTCCTAGGTTTATATATATATATATACATATAATATTTGCAAAATAAAGGATAGTTCATCCCAAAAGAAGAGAGGTTGGCAATAATTCTGAGATTGGAGAAACTTTGTCAAAGTCCAAACTGATGGTCCTTGTAGCAGGATTTGGAAACCATTGCACTCATCAATCATATTGCTGTTCTTAATCTTAATTCCATAGAAACAAGATGATTAGACTAGTGAGCTCATAAAATTTCTCTTGCCTCTGAATTTCAAGCCATTTTTTTCAAAAGTAGTTTAATTATCTATATAGGAATTGTAATATATTGTCAATAGCTTTGGAATATATTTTGTTTTGTTTTTATGAGACAGGGCCTCACTATGCTCCCAGACTGGCTTGGAACCCATGATTCTCCTGCCACAGCTTTTCAAGTAGCTTGGGCTACAAGTACATACTATGACACCTGGCTGGAATAGATATTTTATTTGCCTTTTTTTTTCCCTCTCTAAGGTATGCCTAATTTTTATACATTAGCTTAAAAGACCAAATAATAATTGTTATAATAAAAAAGTAACAATTTTCGTGTCTTATCTCTTTTTTCTCTGTGTTCTGCTGGGATCAAACTAGGCAAGTACTCTGCCACTGAGCTATATCCCTGGCCCTTCCTATCCTGTCTCCATTGCTCATGAACACATCTTCTCATTAAACAGGCAATTGTCTTTGGATAGAACCCTTAAGAAGTTTTCAGAATTTGAATTTGGGATTCTTAGGAATCTAATTTACTTGAAGATTTCTTAACTGAAATGTTGCTTTTTAAATGTGTCAATATTTTTCTCTCTGTGGATTGGGTCACATAAGAAAAGTGCCAATTCAACTGTTATTGAAGTCAATGAATAAAGGCAAAGATGTCTCATAGAAAGTTAGCTGGCCATGAGGATGGTCACCATGTTCTAGTGTCTTGTCCTCAGGTTTGCAGAAATAAAATTTCCATTTTGTCAATAAACTCACACCATATCAAATTTTTAGCAACTGACACAAGCTAGTCAAACTATTACTTCTAACAGAAAACATTTATTAAATATTCAGGATCTGCTAGATACTGTGCAATGTTATTTACCTCATCTGATCCTAACAACATTCTGAGATAGGTACTCCTACTGAACACCATTTTGTAGGCGAAAAAGCTAAAGAGATGTTACATAATTTGGTTAAAGGTCAAGAGTAGGCTGCTATTAACCTGAGGGACTAAACTTCAAACCCAACTCTGTCATATTCCAGAGCTTTTATGCTGTTTTCTTTTATGTACGAGGGATTGAACCCTGGGGTGCTTAACCATAGAGCCACATCCCCAGATCTTTTTATTATTTTTATTTTGAGGTAGGGTCTTGCTAAATTGCTAAAACTGGCTTTGAACTTGTAATTCTCCTGCCTCTACATTCCAAGTTGCTGGGATTACAGGCGTGTACTGCCTCACCCAGGTGAGTTTATGCTCTTAATCATTACATTGTACTCTCTCACCTTAGAAAAGGATTTATTAACTAAAATGTTTTTTAGAGTATGGTTTCTTTCCTTTTAATATTTTTTGGTTGTAGATGAATATAATACCTTTATTTTATTTATTTATTTTTATATGGTGCTGAGGATCAAACCTAGTGCCTCACACATGCTAGGCAAGCACTCTACCACTGAGCCACAACCCCAGCCCCTACTAAAATGTTCTTATTAATTTATAGAAGACAATCATTTCCACAGACTAGAAATTAAATAAGCTGGGCACATGGTGACATAGTCACTGTAAACATAGTGACTTGGGAAGCTGAGGCAGGAGGATTCCAAATTCGTGGCCAGCCTCAGCAATTTTAGTGAGGCCCTAAGCAATTTAGTGGGACCTTGTCTCAAAATAAAAAATAAAATGATCTGAGGATGTGACTCATGGGTAAAATGTCCCTGGGTTAAATCCCTAGTACCAAAAAAAAAAAAAAAAATTACAGAACAGGCTGGGGATGTAGTTCATTCTTGGGTCCAACACCCTTCTACCCCCCAAATAAAATCAAAGGAAAGACAATGGTCTTAAATAGTGTCACTCTAAGTACAGCCCAGTGCTGGTTAATAAGGTAGGTTCCTTAAGTGAATCCCATATTTAAGGAAATAAATTTATTTCTGCAAAATTTGGCCCCTCAGGTTAATAGCAGCCTACTCTTGGAGTAGACTTTGAAATCTGCATGGTTAATAACACCCCAAGCAATTCTATGCCTGAATTAGGACCCACGCGGCTCTAATCCCTGAGCCTGCCCCATAAAAGTCTTGAGCCTGTCCCATAAAAGACCCCCAAGCCTGTTTTGCCTCTCTCCATTTATGGAGAGATGTGCCTCTATTTGTCAGCTCTGACAAATAAACTCTTGTGTGTATCTTTGCCTGGTTACCAACTTTTATTTTCTTGTTTTCCCGTCTCCTGATTCCTCACTTTGCTTTCAACTTGAAGAGACCCTCAGCAATACAGTGAGATTCTGTCTCAAAATAAAAAATAAAAGTACTGGGATGTAGCTCAGTGGTAAAGTGTCCCTGGGTTCAATCCTCAGTACCAAAAATAATAAATAAATAAATAAATAAAATACATTATTTTAGTGATTGGATTCCCTCCTACAAGATTCCCTCCTTCCAAGATAGTGCTGAATAAATCAAGCTAGCTCTCTAGTGAAGATACCAAGTTCCTTTCATTAATTTTCTTTTGTTTACAGAGGGAACAATACCATTGATTAACTTAAGCCTTTAAAGATTTCATGGTTTTACACTTTTTAATACAATCAGGCATTTCTCAGAAAGTCACAATTCCTTAGATTGTTTTAAACCCATAAACCATTTATTTAAGTCTTTTTTTTTTTTTTTTTACAGTGGGGCACTCCTACATCACATTTCTCCTCTCTCAGTTTCAATCTTCCAAGTTAGTCAAAGGACTTTATTGCTCTCCCCACCTTTCATATGGTAGTACTAATTATAAGTTAGTACTTGACTAATGAGAAGTTAATTTTTTATGTAGTATGAAAGAATTATGAACAAGCTTCTATGAATGTTTTCTTCCCAGAATTTCCTAATAGCATTCTGGAGGGATTAGTAGATCATAAAATTTTGAAAGAAAAGAAAGCTGTAGTTGAATATGGTTGTTTGGATTGACCTACAGTGCATACAAAAATATAGCACATACATAAATACATATTAAAAGACTGTTCTTACAATAGATACTTGTGTAAAAGATTTAAATTTTCTTTCCTCTTGTTTTAAGGTTTTCATATCCAAGCCAAAATGGTGACAATAGCTTAAAAGTGAAACTAAAATGGTGAAGGAAGTAAGATTAAAAAGTGAACTTTTCTTTAATGCTAGACTAGAAATACTGAGGGTAGGAACAGCAGACTTTAAAAAACTGATGTAAAAAGATTATAAATTACTCTCCCTTCCTAAACTGATCATATGCTAAGATTTAACAACTGGAACATGTTAAGAATTGCTCAATATTTCATATCAGAAAATATTAAGTTATTTGTTGAAGTGAATTAAGTAATTCTGACATTTAAAATGAATCTGGAAACATGATCTTGATATGGAATTCTAGAGGTAGAAAATGACATGGTAAAAATAATTTCAAAGAGAATCATCAGTAATAAAGGTACTCTGCACAATAAAATCTCCCTGATTTGCACCTACATTTAGTGAAAAGAACTGGTTGTGTGTTCTTACAGAAATAATATTTAGTATAGTAGTGTATGGAAACAGTATACAATATGATTATTTTGTCTTGACTTAGCAAAGCCTGATCAAGAATTGGTTCTGCTGTAACAGGGATAAATCATAGGTAATAAGCCTATCAAATACCTGTCTGAAGAGAGGCATATCAGAAGAGTCAGGAGTTTATCTCTTTTCTTTTCTTTTTGGTGGTGCTGAAGATCCAACCCAGGGCAGGCTAGGCAAGGCTCTATCACTAAGCTATATCCTCAGGTTCCCCCTTTTCCTTTAACATATTTGAAAGCAGTTTTTTATAAGTTGGAAAACTGCTTCTGTTTGCACTATTATTATTTGTTTATAAATTTTCTTTGGTATAATAGACTTTGTGTTTAGAACAAAAAAATATTCATTGAGGCATATTAGGAGCTATGTGGTATATAACAGGTACTATCTTTCAGTAAATTATCTATGCTAGTCCAATGGTAGTTTTCACAAATTCATTAAATTCTTTTTTTTTTTTTACTGGTGATTAAACTACTCAACAACTAAGCAACATCCCCAGCCCTATTTTGTATTTTATTTAGAGACAAGGTCTCACTCAGTTGCTTAGGGCCTTGCTAAATTGCTGAGGCTGGCTTTGAACTTGAGATCCTTCTGACTCAGCCTCCCAGCCACTAGAATTACAGGTGTGCGCCATGTGCCAGGCTATAAATCATTAAATTTTTAATAGAAGAAAGTGAAATTAGTGAAGCATTACAGAATTGATATTGTCTTTCATAAAGTATATAAAAATCTTGATAAGAATTATTTAATGCTTTTCAGAACTCTATTAAGAAGATAAAAACAAAAATCAATAAGATTTGGGGAGAACAAACATTACACCTTCTATGGAGCTTTCATTTTCTTGCCACATATGTTCTTGAGACTAATTATTTTCATAATTTGATAAATTTGAAGAACTATATACATATAAATTTATAGCATTACCTGGAGAGAATCCATACTTTATTCACCAAGTAGGCTTCCTTTCCTTGTACTCTGCATCACACACCTATACACACCAAGTGAAGTTACAACAGATGAAAAAGATAAAACTACAAATACCTAAATATTTCCTCTTTTATGTGTAACATTTCCAACTCTCATGTATTCCAGATTTAACATCTATGGTTGGGGGCAGGGGTGACAAAAGTAACTTAATTCTGTATTTTTGGAGTTGGTGTCTGGCAAATTCATTGCATAAAATCAAAACTGGATTTTAAGCAATTTCTAATGTAATGAAAAGGTATTCATTTATTTGATGGATGTTGAGTGGTAGTGTATCAAGCAAAGTTGCTATCCCTGCTGAGGTGAGATACTCACTGATGACCTAAACTAAACGTCCCAAGCCCCAGGATCTGAGTATTAGTGGATGAGATGTGTTACTACAATACAAAGCAGAAAGCACTAGAAAGAAAGAACAAATAAATTTGTACTTCAGATGCAAATAATTTCCTAATGGCCACTAGCCAAAATGCTTTAAGGATTTAGGATTTTATCACAATTTCAACATAACTAGGAAGAACTCCCACAATTCTATTCTTTGTCCCCCAGAATCCAAAAACTCCGACCAACCACGTGGGAGATTAAATTGGTGACTTGTTCTAAAGGGGGTGGAGGGTCGGTGTAGAGCAGGGGAATTATCACCCAAAGTCTCGGGGGGGGCATCATCCCTTTTGAGGCCTATGGTGCAAAGACCATTACGAAGAATGGCGGGGTTCGTGGAGTTTTCACCCTGGGCACACTCTCGATTACCTCTGATGAGCCCCAAAGATCTCTGAGTAGCAGACTAGGTCAGGCCCCCCAAAAGAAAAGGCGGCGATAACTGCAACCTCAGCGGTTAAAGTGTACAGCCTATAGGCGGGTCTAAAGCACCTGTGCTAAAGATTACTATCGCTGAGGATTCTTAGACTGGAAAATGAAAAGGGGTAGGGGGTAAAGGGTAGGGGGACGGGAAGGAAGAGCCCGGGGGTTCAGAGAAAGGGGGAGGGGAAGGGAGGGGATGGAGGGGCAAGCCGCGGGGAAGACCACAGGTTTACAGGCGGAAATCGTGATGTTCCCAGGGAAACGTATCCCTCCGCCCGTGACCAGCGCCTTGGCCTCTTCAGTTCCCTCCGCGCCGCTTCTCTCCGCGCTGTTTCCGCCCAGCTCCTTTGTGCCGCGCAGAACGTTGAGATGACGCATGCGCAAAACTCCCAGCCGCCGCATATATAAGCGCGAAGCCGGGCTCTTCTTCGTAGTGCCGCCGGGACCGTTGGCGAGTGAGTGTGTGTGGCAGCTTCCGTACTACTCGAGCCCCGGGCGCTGCGAGCTAAAGAGCAGAGCACGCGGGCGGGTCAACATGTCGCGCTACGGGCGGTATGGAGGAGGTAAGCGCTTAGGGCCTCGTAAAGAAGAGTGCTGTGCATATAGTGAATGTTCTGAGGCCGTGGGGTTGGCGCGGCGGTTGGGAGACGGTTATTCCGCGTGCGTAATGGCGGCTTCGGCGCACGCCAAACGAAGCCGGAGGCAGCGGGGGCGGGGTGTTGAATGGAAATGGGAAATAAGAGGGTGGGTGTCTGAGCCCGGTCCCCAGTTCTTGGGCATTTTTGTCGCCCACGCGGGCCTGAAGTCGGGTCCGAGGTCACGATTTTCCCTTTGCCCTTCTTGGAGCTGCCCGTCCGCCCCCTCCCCCCCTCGGCGGCGGCTGCCATTTTGCGCACATTGACGACCGTGGTGGCGCATTTCCTTAGTGCTTTCCCGCCACTCGAGCGGACAGATCTGGTTGCTGTGGTAAAGTGAGGGTTGGATTTGGGACTGAATGGAACTGGCAGCTACAAGCTGCGCATTCTTGTCAAACAATTGTTGAGTTGAGGGATGGTAATTACGACCAACGGTTGGCTTTTTTTGTGGGGGGGGCGGCTTTTTGGAGAGCTGTTTATGACACTGGGGCAGGGAGTTGGAGACTTTGGCAAGCCAGCGCCTAGGCCGGTTGTTGTGAGGATTAGAGCGGGCGCAGCCTTACTCTCGCGGTCCGGCCGAGGCCCGCCCGACGCCGCTGCCTCGGGCCCGCGCGCTCCTAACGCGCCCGCGGCTGCCGGGACTCGGGGGCGGGGCCGGGCCGGGCCCGCCCCAATCGGGATATCTTGCTTGGCGTCTTTGCTGTTTTGGAGATTTTTCTCCTTATTATAATACTGAAAACTTTGTTATAAGTCTAGCTTCTTGGGTGTTTATGGACTTCATTGATTTTAAGACTAAATTCGACCCTAGAGAAAGCATTAGATATGTTTTGTACAAGCCGCGTGCAGTGGTGTCTAGTCTTGGCTACCTGGGAAGGCTGAGGCGGGAAGATTGCTTGAGCCCGGGAGTTGGAGACCTGACTAGGCAAGGTAGCCAGAGTCTGTCTCAAAACAGTGTCTTAAGGATGTCCTGTTTAGGCAAAGAATTCAGTCACATTGAGCCAAACTTTGGTAATGTACGTTGTTATGTTGCATTTTTTTTTTTTTTTAAACAGAAACCAAGGTATATGTTGGTAACCTGGGAACTGGTGCTGGCAAAGGAGAGTTAGAAAGGGCTTTCAGTTATTATGGTCCCTTAAGAACAGTATGGATTGCAAGAAATCCCCCAGGATTTGCCTTTGTGGAATTTGAAGATCCTAGAGATGCAGAAGATGCTGTGCGAGGACTGGATGGGAAGTAAGTGAGATGTTCATTATGAAACACTTATTAAAATGTTTTGTGGGTTAGAGATCTGGTGTGCTAAGCTTTGTGTTCTACAGTCTGGAGACCTAACCTTAAATACCTGATCTTGATAAGACAATGAGGATTAAATCTGTTTTGCCCCATCATCCCAAATGTGGAACACCTATTATAAAAACAAGCAAAAAATACACCATTTATGGTAATTTTGAAATAATATTTGAATAGTGTTTGTAGAATTGAGAACTTCAGACTTAATGGGGGTAAAGAGGGTAGCAAGGGTGGAGTTGAAGAACTTAGTAAAGAGCCAAAGCTTGTGAAGGGAAGGAGTGGTTAAAGAGAGTTATAAATTGAGGGTTAATTTGTAATCCCATCTACTTGGAAGGCTGAAACAGGAAGATCCCCAGTTCCAAATTGGCCTTGGCAATTTTAATGAGACCTGATTATTCAAAAAATTAAAAGGTTTGGGATGTAACTGGGTGGTAGAGTGCTTGCCTAGGTTATGTGGGCTCCTGGGTTAAATCCCTAGTATTGGGGGGGTGTCACTTTTTTTTAACTTTAGAATTTTGTTACTTTTAACAGGGTGATTTGTGGTTCCCGAGTGAGGGTTGAACTATCAACAGGCATGCCCCGGAGATCTCGTTTTGATAGACCACCTGCCCGACGTCCCTTTGATCCCAATGATAGATGCTATGAGTGTGGCGAAAAGGGACATTATGCTTATGATTGTCATCGCTATAGCCGTCGAAGAAGAAGCAGGTATTTAGTTAATAAAGGAATGGTTGGTATTCTAGTTAATTAATCAAAGTAATTCTTTTATTAGCAAGGCAGAAACTAGTGTTTTTCTATAAACTTGAATGTTAATTGTACAGGTGTATTTTACAATTTTTGTTTAATTAAAAATGTTAATATATTAATAATCAACCTGGTCAAAACCTTTCAGGTTTCTTCGTTTGAGTCAGTCGCCTTGATTCAGAATGTCACGAGCCTTATGATATCATGCTGAGGCGCCTTGCAAATCCGACAATTAAGATCCTCCTAGACCTTGAGGTGATCAGCATAAGAGGCCAGATCCCCTCGAGTCATCTACACCTAGCTTCACCTTATTCTTTAAAGGGCAGAAAATTTGAGACGGTGATCGCCGTAACAGTAAATTTGGCTTACAATTGGGGCCCCCCCCTCCGCTTTAGAAAGAGGAACACCAGATTGACCACATTCCCAACTAGAAAAATCTTCTTGCGTCAATCAAGCCTCACCTGGCTCTTTTGGCTGTCAGTTTGATCGTCGTTAGATTGAAGAAAACATCTAGATGCAGCGATCGGCTATAGATACTTCTAGATCGTCTAGATCTACTAGACCTACTAGACCATGGGCCAAAGAGGGTCGACCTGCAAACTTGCAAGGTTTATTTTAAATACACATTACAGTGTTTTATATTATGTAATTCTAAGTTGTAATTCAGCTTTTAACAATCTTTTTTTAGGTAGTAAAAAAAAAAAAAAAAACCAACAACTAGGCCCAGAGTTTATTTCCAAATGAGACACTAAATTTAAATAGTTTTGAGATTTGATTTCAGCAGAGGCACAAAAACGCTAAAAACGAGTTATCGTCTAATATTTTGTATTTTTCTAACTTGAAAAATAGGTCACGATCTAGATCACATTCTCGATCCAGAGGAAGGCGGTACTCTCGCTCGCGTAGCAGGAGCAGGGGACGGAGGTGAGAAATCTTCAGTAATTCATCTTCACAAGGGGTGGGGGCGGGAGGCTTTTTTGAGATGGACTTTAGTTTCTTTTAATTTTTAGGTCAAGATCAGCATCTCCTCGACGATCAAGATCTGTATCTCTTCGTAGATCAAGATCAGCTTCACTCAGAAGATCTAGGTCTGGTTCTATAAAAGGATCGAGGTATTTCCAGTATGTAACACTTTTTTCCTCCTTATTTGTAGTTGGATTGTCACATCTTGACCACAACAGCACAGTGGTGGAGTGTCTTAAGGACAAAATTCAAATGAATTGCTTCAGAATGTTTGAGATTTAAAAGTTTAATTTTTATGATTTCTAACATGGACATTAGTTTTACAAGTAAAGATAAACATAAGTAAAGATTTTAAAGCTTGTTAAGAGGCCATAGTGGACTAGGCATAGTGATTCATTCCTGTAATTCCAGTGACTTATGAATCTGAGGCTGGAGGATGACAAGTCTGAAGCTGACAGTTTTAACACATTTAAGAGAAGTGAAAAATCAAGTTGGGAACCATATATTTCCTTAGTAAGCATGCCTTAAAAGATGGAACTTGTACAACTCGAGAAAATGTTAACACTATAGATGATGAAGCAGTTGTTCAGAATGCCACCCAGTTACTTGCTGTTGAATAGAACAAACCCTTTAAAAGTAGAAATTACAAATCCTGTGGTCTATTTGAGAAAACTGGACTAATCTCTAGATAGTTTATCTAATTTATTGCAGGATCTCAAGATATTTGAGATGCATATATCAGCCCAATGTAGTTGGGTGTAACTTGCTTATGATTTAAGAAAAAAGCCTTACTCATTTGTCCAACTTTAGATTGACACAAGGCAAGATTTTGCATTTTGATCAGTTTTAGGTCCTTTGTTCCTAACCTATCTAATTCAGTGCTCAAAAAAGGAATGCCTATGGACTAATGTATTTTCATTTTTCTTTTATTAAAGATCCCGGTCAAGATCAAGATCTAGATCTAGATCTCTTTCACGACCAAGAAGCAGGTAAGGTACAAATGTGATCAAATGCTCTTCCAGTTATATGGCACCAATATCCAAAGAGTTCAAAGTGTTTTTCATTGTTGAAAATTTTAAATGTCAACTCCTAAGTGGAAATACAAAACCTTTTTAAGCCAAATGAGAACTTCATTAAAACATGGCCTATTGCAGGCTTCTTAGAGGAGGGAATGTGAAGTGTGCTAGAAATTTGTGATTTGTTGGGGTTGAGAGGCCTTTGCTAGAACTGTTAGGGACATTGGAGAAGCATCCTGAAATAAGTGTTTTTTTAAGATAGTATGTGGAAAAGATGAATTGTGACAATACAGCAGTTCACTTTAATTAAAAAAAAATTATAGTCTGACATTTTTTAAGCTCAGGACAGTGTCGGGTTTGTTTTGTGGTATTGTGGTTAAAAGGAAGGGATTGGTTAGTACTTTTTCTTAATAGAGTTTCTCGTGTTTTGACAGCCGATCAAAGTCCAGATCTCCATCTCCAAAAAGAAGGTAAGCTAAATAATCTTTTTTTGCAAAGTCTTAACCAATCAAGTGTGGCCTCTGCAGAATTTGTCTGCTTTGCCTAATTAGCAATCTTTGAGCTCTTTGGAGAATTGGTGCTATATAGATTAGGTATTATGTTTCTGAGATGATTGCTTTTCCTTTAACAGTTTTTTACTTTTGTATAGTCCTATGAACCCTTAGTTGTAGAAACTTCATGCTAAGCAGCTTGATTTTTTTTTTTTTTTTTCCCCCTACATTCTACCTGTGGACAATAGGTAGAAATGAAGTCCATGTGAGGAAAACCATAAATCTTGCAAATGGTTGAAATCTAGCAACTAAATTTTTTGTCTCTTGGTCCTTAAGGAGCCAGAGAACTACAAATGGTTGTTCTATTTAATGTAACCTTGGAATTTGGCAAGGTTATTAAAAAAGCCAATACTAATGGGTGGGGGGGATAAGTATATAAATTTAATGTAAGTTTAGATCTTTGCCTTAGTAGGAATACATTGTACATTAGGATTTATTGAAGTATTATTTTCCCTTGACTGTACATTGGAAAGAGTATATTTCAGTAGACACTAATTGGTTCCCAAACCTAATGTTTTTCTTTTTAGTCGTTCCCCATCAGGAAGTCCACGCAGAAGTGCAAGTCCTGAAAGAATGGACTGAAGTTCCTCAAGTTCACCCTTTAGGGAAAAGTTATTTTGTTTACATTATTATAAGGGATTTGTGATGTCTGTAAAATGTTACCTAGGAAGGATATTTCAACCATCTAATCAAAATGGATCTGGATTAATACTCTGTAAATTCACAGCAGTAAGATAATATAAGTTTTTTGTTGAATGTATTAACATCTTATGGTCTGAACATGGGTTTTTATTTGGCACATTTAAATAAAATGTTTCTAACTAGATTTTTGATTCGTGTTCAATATTAACACTTCTCAATTTGGTAACCATCAGGAGTCAAACTTGATAACTATTAAATATTCATACAGAGTTACATTCAAAGTTTAATGGTGTTAAAAGTCTTGAACATCATTAACTGTTACATACATAACACTTTGTCAACATCTTAAGGGACTTTGAAAAATTCTATTTTACCCTTGTATCTGGGTAAGATGATCTTGAGTCCCCTGTAATAGTATGAGTTTATCATGACAGATCCCTCAATTTAACTTATTGAAGTTGGTGTTAAGAGACATCAAACTAATGATCTCAATCTGTCAATCTAGAGGGACCACTGATTGACCTATAAATGAGCATGACGGGAACTAAGCAAAGCTTTTTGAGTAAATGTGATATAAGATGTAAGGAGAAACTGATTTCTGGAGGCTGTTTTAGCTTATTGATGTTTCCAGGCAATTAGGTGGGATGGTTTCTATTCAGTGTTCTTTGTTTTCAAACATTAGTTAACTGATTTTATACCAAAAAAAAAAAAAAAAATGCATGTATGAGAAATTGTCTGGATTTGGAATAAAATGTAAACCAGCTTTGCAAAATTTTCCAGCCTAGATATTCTTCTGTATTCCTTCAAATGGATCACCTTATTTTGTTCAAAGACCTATTATGTCTAAGCTAGGTTTCACAATTCCCAACAACCAACATTATTTTGCCAAGCTGGTGCAAAGTAATTAATGATGTCAATCAGCAATGTTAATGAGACTTAAGCAGTTTTGTAAATCCCACTTATTTAGTAGCAACATTTCATGTAGCTTAAGTTTTTTTGGTAGTATATGGTAGACCTTAGAATGTTACAGCCAGTAGGTTCTTATTCAGACTTAACTATATTAAGTATAATGGGACAATGGTTAAAACTTTTACCAGGTATTTTCTACCTTGGTGTAAAAGGAAAAAGTGCTGGTGGCACAGGAATCTGTCCTTGTCTGTTTTCTTAAGGCTTTTCTACAAAGTCATTGGATGATAATGCAATTTGGGAATACTGATCTGCCTCAAATTTATTTGGTGGTCTGAGTGATCACTAGTATATTAGAAGTTATTTGGGTTCTTTGTTTTAGAATTTTGACAACTGAGCATTATATGGTTGGCATAAAGCTGTGTAATTGGCAGGCTTATTTGTTGCACTGGTTAGCTTTAATTGTTCTGTATTATATAAAGATAAGTTTACTCAACAATAAATCTGCAGAGATTGAACAAATAATCCTGATACTCAGTTTTTGGAAGTGTGAGCCCTGAGCTAAAAGTAGGAATCATTAATCCTATAGCTTTTTTTGGATGGAAAAGTAGTGGCATCCCAGAAGTTAGTGTTGAAAGGATATGGGTATGAAGGAAGGATAGAAATCCTGCTACCCTCAGAGAAAGTGAATACTGACCCTAGTCCAACAGCTTTACTCGTTGACAACTTTGTACCTACTGTTGAGTAGTGTATTATGTAGTAATGATAAAGTTTCATGACAGTTTCATGGAGTTAATGTCCTGAATATTTCATATGTAGGAAAAAAGCTCCAGTAGACAGTTTGAAAGCCTACTGTTGTGATGTCTAGAACAAATATTCATTAAAATATTTTCATTTCTAATTAAAAAGTTAAAGCTGATCAAAATTGTCATTTAATCCCAGCAACAAAACTATGCTATTACTCCATCTCATTAAAGAAAAAGTGGGCTCAGATTGGTAATTTAGTCAGGTTTTTTTTTTCCTATCTAGGTAGGAAGTAGGAAAAGATTGAATCTTTACCTGTGAATTGAAAGTTTTTTTCTTCAATATGTGAAACACTAAAGACAATCACATGGAAAAATCAGAAAAAATACAAGTAACCCTATAGTCCTACCCATTTTGGTACCATTGTTAATGGCCATATCATGAAAAGATGTGGCCTTTTTTTGTGTGTGCGCTGGGGATTGAACCCAGGACTTCGTGCATGCAAAGCAAGCACTCTACCTACTGAGCTATATTCCCAGCCCCTCAACCTCTTGTTTCATGTCTGATTTTTGATTTTCCAATTGCCAAGTCTTTTTCATTTCCTGTCATTTTTGGCTTACGGGGTACAAGGTTTTATACTCCTGACTTAGCTACCTTAACCAGTTTCAGATACAGCCCGCTCAACAGTTGTATTCCTATGTAACAAGTAGACATTTTCATGACAGCAGCATAGTGTACATTGACTTTTTTCTCATTTAATATTTTGGCGATCTTGTAAAAATCTCTTGGTCAATTTTTTTTAATGTTGCATTTACTTGTTTAGTTGATGGTATTGTGTAGTAAACTTTTTAAATACCTCTTCAATGTGTCCTTGGGATGCAGAAGTGAACAAGTATATTAAAATGGAGCTTAAGTTCTGGAGAGTTATTTAATAAAAGAGGACTTTGTTGCTATTTTGTGAAGGACGGTCTAAGTGACATTTGAGCAAGTGAAGCGGGGGTGTATAACAACTTTGACTTCTGGAGGAACTGTTCTCTAGTCAGGGGAACATAGTAGGTGCAGAGGCCCTAAAGTAGTTTGAATTGTTAGAGAGCAAAGGTCCCAGAAGGAAAGGGGTAGGTGTTGCAGGATATGGATCATGTGGAACCTTTTAGACCTCGGAAAAGATCTAGTTCTTTTCCCCGGAGGTTTTTTAAAGATACTTTTCCTGTTCATTTTTTAAGACTGGTAGCAATTTTAGGTTCATTAACAAAATTTAGAAAGGCATATAGATATTTCCCGTATCTATCTACAATCCATATCACCTCACACCTGTAAATTTCCCCCAGTATCAACTTTTGGATTGGTACAATTGTTAGAACCTAAATTGATTTGACATTGTCACCTAAAGTCCATAGTTTTACCTTAGGGTTCTTGAGGGTTGAACTTTCCATGGGTTCAGACAAATATATAATAACTTGTCTACCATGTGGCATCACACACGTTTCATTGCTGGAGTACTCTAGTTTTTTGTTTGATTTTGTTTGTTTTTTCCCCTCCCACACTGCTGATTAAACTCGGGCACTCCACCACTGAACTGGGCACTCCACCACTGAACTATGTCCCCATCCCTCCATCCCTTTATATTTTTTGAGACAGGTCTCATGAAGTTGCCCTGACTGGCCTTGAACTTGCCATCCTGCCTGAGCTTCCCAAGTTACTGGGATTACAGGTGTCTGCTACTGTACCTGGCTAGTTTTGACTTTATTCTTCCCTCCCCCATCAATTCCTGGCGACCACTTTTTTGACCATCTATTTTGCTTTTTCCAGATTGTCGTAATAGTTGAAATCATAGTATGTTACCTTTTCAGATTGACTGATTTAACCTTCTAATAGGCATGTTTCCTCCTTTTGGGGGTTGAATTACACTCTGGTAGTTCCGCAGTTCCACTTAAACTAATAAAAGAAAGTCTTGGTTGCTTCCAAGTTTGGATAATTACGAATAAAGCTGTTGTGTGAGGTTTTTATGTGGCCATAAGTTTAACTCCTTCCTTTGTGTAAATGCCAAGGAGCAAAATTATGTGAAATACATTTAGTTGTCTTTCAGGTAGGCTGCATGAATGAGTTTGGGTTGCTCCACATCCTTATGAGCATTATTAAGCATTTGTCAGTGTTAGGGAGTTTGGCCATTCTAATATATGTATGGTGGTTTGGGTTTTATCTTGCATTTTTCTGGTCAGCAGCATGTGATGGTGGAGCATCTTTTTAAAAATTATTTATTAGTTGTAGTTGGACACAATACCTTTATTTACTTATGTGGGGCTGAGGATCAAACCCAGGGCCTCGCATGTGCTAGGTGAGTGCTCTAATGCTGAGCCACAACCCCAGCCCTAGAGCATCTTTTCATGTACTTAGCTACCATCATCCTTGGTGAAGGATCTGTTAAGGGTCTTTAGCCCTAATTTTAATAGGGTTGTCTTTTTTCCCATGGAGGGTATCTGAGAAAAGGATTAACAGGAACTTAACTGTTGGTGAATATGAGGGTTGTTTCTAATTACTGTTACCACAGTGAACTGAATACCTTGCATAGTATACCATTGCACAGGTGAACATGTCTAGGATAATTACTAGAAATGGCATTGCTGGGTCAAGTTATGTTTTGGATGGGTATTGTTAGTTTGCCCTGGTGGCAGGGTATGCCCGTTTTCCTGTAGTATTTTTGCCGACATGGTGGGCTATCAAGCCTGTTGGTTTTGGTTTGGAATGTGGTGTACACCTGTAATCCTAGTGATTTAGGAGCTGAGGCAGGGGGATTGCAGTTTTTAAGACCAGCCTTAGCAATTTTGCAAGACCTTGTCACAAAAAGTAAATAAAGTGCTGAGGATATAGCTCAGTTGGTAGAGTGCTTGCCTTGCATGTGCAAAGTCATGGGTTAATCCCCAGCACGACTAAATGAATGAATGAACGAATGAATGAATGAACAAATAAACATTAAAAAGAAGTGGGGATGTAGCTCAGTGATAAGAGTACAATCTTTTTTTTTTTTTTTTTTGGTGCTGGGAGTTGAACCCAGAGCCTTGTGCATGTGATGCAAGCCCTCAACCAACTGAGCTATATTCCCAGCCCCAACCGTCTTGATTTTTTAAAAAAATCCTGTGTTAAAAAAATGGTATCTTGGGCCTGGTGTTGTGGCTCAGTGGTAGAGTGCTCACCTAGCTCATGTGAGGCACTGGGTTCGATCCTTAGCACCACATAAAATTAAGGTATTTTGTCCAACTACAACTAAAAAAAATATATATATAAATATATCTGATAGGTTTTTTTTATTTTGTTTTGTTTGGTAAAATACGTGTTTTCCCCCTTCTGGAAAATTTCCATGTGTTTGCAAGTCTGATTTAGTTTCCTTGCTCTCAATATACTGGAACTTTACCTACAGTGGGACTCCTTTATTTGTAATTTGTGTGTTCACTTCTGTATTTATACCATCACAAAACATTGTGACAGGAGGAACCAAAATGCTAAGAACTTGGAACCTTAAGTATTTGATGAATGAAAATGTTAATGGATGAATTAATTCTAACTTTATTAAGCCAAGTATATAAAACTGGAACCTCTTCTGTGAGACTGAGCCACATTTTCCTTTTTGGTGCCTGTGTGACTCCTGTTTAAAGTGTCCAACTCTGCTACTTTATCACAGTTTTTCTCTCATTTGGATTAACTTGAGTTCTGCCACTCAGAATTCTGCTCAGAATGAGTGTGGAAAATTCCTCTGAAGAAAGTTCTTTCTAGAAAGGGTACAGCCTCAGTTGGCACCAAGAGTTGGTGAACTGCCAAGTGTGGTGGCATATGCCTGTAATCCCAGCAGCTCAGGAGGCTGAGGCAGGAGGATTGAGTTCAAAGCCAGCCTCAGCAAAAGTGAGCACTAAGGAACTCAGACCCTGTCTCTAAATAATACAAAATAGGGCTGGGGATGTGGCTCAGTGGTCGAGTGCCCCTGAGTTCAATCCCTGGTACACAAAAAAAAAAAAAAAGTTGGTGAACTCAGGTGAGCTAGCTTGGTGGTGAAGTCAGATTGTTGGACCAGCAGCTTCTATTTATTCATGACTACCAGTTACCTAAGACTATATCCTTTGTGCCTGTATTTTTCTTTATCAACTAAGGTTTGAGAGTGTCTGGATTTTTATTTTTGGTTGTAAAATTGCTTTAAGGAATCTAGATTTACCAGGTGCAGTGGCCCATGACTTAAATCCTAGTGGTTTGGGAGGTTGAAGCAGGAGGATTGCAAATTTAAGGCCAGCCTCAGCCACATAGTGCAACCTTGTCTCAAAAAATAAAAAAGACTGGGAATATATAGCTCAGTGGTACTGAAAGAAAGAAAAAAAAATCAGATTCTAGAAAAAATGATAAGGTTTCGGGATAATTTTTTTTAAAGAGAATTTTTTAATATTTTTTAGTTTTCGGCAGACACAACATCTTTATTTGTATGTGGTGCTGAGGATCGAACCCAGGTGCGCATGCCATGCGAGCGTGATACCGCTTGAGCCACATCCCCAGCCCTCAGAATATTTTTTTAAAAAAATCTATAAAGAAAATATATACAGCAGAAGTAAAGGTAGATGGTCAGTTTATCTCAGCCTGTCAGGGGCACCATCACCAGAGTTCTTGGGAACCTATTTATAGAATGCACTGCTTCCTTTATAATATGGGTGTGTTGGGCTTTAATGTTTATAATGTTTTTTTAGACCAGTGTGATTTTCATGAGATTGACATTTAGTCTTCCATTTCCTGCTGAAGTCTCCTAA